TTATTCCTCTTCTCTGACAGCAGAGACCTCTGCTGCGAAGAAATAATTTTTCGTCTGTCTATAATGACAGCACCATCTTGTGGTTTGTTACAGTTCAGAAATTTTCGGTTTACATCTCTCAATCTCTTACACACAGAAGGATGCTGTAAAACAAGCTGCCCAGTACGGAATTCTTCCAATCACTGAAAACAACTCAAAAACTTTTCACACTGCTTTAGCTTTGCCAGTTTGAGCGCTGCTAGCAATATAGCCCAGTAGTGCAGAGATGGGTGCTGAACAGTGACTGCAAATGGGGCCCAGGGTTCACATAACTTCATTAAACAGCTCCAGTACCTCGCAGGACAAACGAGAGTGCAAAATGGCAAAACTGCTCCCTCCTCGTGCCTCTATGGACACATGGATTACTAGCTCACTGAAAGCACTTTATTGAGCAAATGTGATTACCTGCCATGTCTAAAGAATTAAAGGTTGAGCCTTTGCATACTAATAGCAGGTTATCACGTAACAGTGTCTTAGACTGCAGAGACAGGTCACTGTTTATCAATATGTCTGCAGTTTAACAGGGATATCACAATAACCTTTCTTTGACTACAGTTCTTGTGTAGTATCATTTGGTCTGTTGCAGTTGCATTTACCTTCGAAAGCTCTCAGCAGCTTACACCGAACTCAGTGATGGTCTGAATCTATCATTATCTTTGACTGGTGAAGAGCTTAGCCAACAGCAACAAAAAATAAAAAAAAACCTGAAAGCAACAGACCTGAAGATTATTCCTGTACAATGGAATGCTGACAGCATTTCTGAAAGGAGTTTGATGACTAGAAGAAAAGGCATTATTCTGTTAACCACAAGATAATATTACCAGCGACCATAATGCCTTCGGTCTCTTCGTTAAAAGCATTTGGCATCATGCTACAGACAGAAAACAAAGACAATGTTTTCAGAGCCTGTATACCTCAATTCTGAAGTCTCTGGTCATTACCAGCAGTAATCAAGCACTACTAAAGAAACACTATTGCACCTTATCCCCAAGTATCCACTGAATCCTCCAGATCCACAGTCCCATACAACTGCTGAGGTGAATATCAACCAAAAAATACAGGTGCAGCTTAGACCAAAAAAATTTCCTGGCTGAGAAATTTTACTGGTATGGGCATGAGAGTTAAAGATGAGGGTTGAAAGGAGTAAAGGGGTAGCTTACATGGTCATTTCCATACCTGCTTTCTACAAATGCATAATTGAGAAATTTCAAAGCTTACTTTATGTGTTAAAAAATATCTCGACCCAGAAAAATGCTTGAAATGTTAGTGGAGCGGAGGAATGGTAAACAAAAGTAGAAGTCTTTGAAAATATAAAATTCCAAACTTCAGAACATAAAACTGAACTATTATGAACAAATCTTAAAGGCTAAGTTTGAGAAATTAAACCATATAAAAATGTACTGATTTTAATAGAAACTATGAAGAATAATGAACAGGCAATGATCTCCAGACAAGTTGTAGAGGCATTCTTTATTAATAAACCAAACAGATAATGCATTACATATGTGTACTCTCCAAAACATTCCTCAATATTCAACAAATGCCTTAAAATAACTCATTTATATGAGTTCTTACTTTCAAATTTGGGATTCTTCCATGAAAAGAATGACTACACAGAAGGCTTGAGGCTTCGCTGCAGACGTCCAAGAGGGTTGCAGGCCACGGAGGAAGGGCCAGGGCTCTGAACACGCAGGGGCAGGGAAGGGGCCACGGGCTACGGACGCAGAAGAGCCTCACCCCACACTTAGATGGGGGGGCTCGTTCCGCTGCCGCCTCAAAAAAGCTGCCTCTCCCCAAGGGGCCAAAGGAAAGAGGCTGTCGGCAGGACTCAGCGCCGTAAGGGCACGGACCACGGACCACGTCGCCGGGACGCCAGGGTTCGAGGGAGCTCAGCGTCCCCCACGAACGGCGAGAATGCAACCGCCATCCTCAGCTTACGAGGGGCTCGCCCTGGCCACCTGACAAAAGCACCGTCAGCCAAGAGCCTGCACAGACCCACACCCTGGCTACGGGGAGCACGGAGAGGTCTTGCCCTCTGGCCTCTTAATTACGGGCTACTCGCAGCGCGCAACAGGCTGCCACACACACGGGCGTGAAGCCCAGCGGCAGAGACCTCCTCCCCGTTTAGGGAGCGGACAGTCCAAATGAGTTTGGCATAAAGCGAGAGACACACAGCCAGCACCTCCCTCGCAGGGAAGGCTTGCGGGACGGGATCTCCACAGAGGGCTGTCACGCTAAGAGTGGGACGGGATCTCCACGGAGGGCTGTCACGCTAAGAGTGGTGTCAATCAGCAGCTTGACTCAAAGGCTGTACCCACCCAAATTCCAGCCGGGGAAGGCACGAGAATCCCTTGGGTAGCGCACACGATGCTCCTTGCTTTCTGCTTCTGGGAAGAGCAAGGAAAGCACACTGCAGTATGTCAGGACCTAAGCATCCAAACCAACGCCTTCCGCAACAGCCACGCTCCTCCACCTGCACGCACACACACACGTGCGCACACGCGCATACCCCAGGTTACTTTTCCCAGAAGAGAAAACGAGAGCACGTTGCGGCACCACCTCCAGCCTCCTCCTCTCCCAGGTGGAGGCAGGTACAAAACTACATCCAGTCTACCGTGAGGTGGCCGATACTTAGCTACTACAGGACTTCACAGCTGCTCTCCAGGTGCAGCGCACGGCATGCACCGAGGCTGCAAAGCCACGGTCCACGCACTTGACTTACAGGTGAGCCCTGCTGAAATTTAACTGCCACAAGGGCCTGAAGTCCCGCAGACAGATGCCTCGACCCCAATTACGGAGCAGGCTCTTGCCTTCAGGGTACCGAGGGCCTACAAATAGGTAGCTCATGGGTTCCACCCTGGTGAGAGGGGAGCCACACTACGCAGGCTGGCATTGCGTGGCATAGTGCCACCGGTGCGGAGATCGGGACCCCATTTACTGGGCAATCCCATGGCTCAGGCCTCTCAGGAGCTCCCTCTCCCCCAGAAAGGGACACCCTGGTGACTTCATCCCTCCTTACAGGGCAGTCACAGCCAGTGGCGGGCAAAAGGGGTAGCCTGGCCACAGACCAACCGAGCAGAGACCATAGCCCTCCTTAGAGAGAGGCCTCGCTGCTCCGGGTAACAAGGGGGTTCAGGAACACCAGGGAAGGCCAATCTGCATCCCGAGCCCTGCCTACACAGAGGTGCCAGTGTCAAGGGTCCCTTTCCTTCTCCAACATCTCCTGGGACTTGCATCTTCGGCCTCAAAACTTGCTATCTCTGCCTTTTGTTGTCTTCTGTTCTTCTTGTCTTCTGGAAATAGTGATAGCATTATGGTCAGCTATTAGGCAAAATATTTTTCTACAATTTTCAATATCTGTTTTATAAATAATAATAGATATTTGATGGAATTACAGTACTTTCAAGACTGCCATCTAATCCTGTTGCACTGTTTACACTTAGAGTCAGCAATACCTTTCATAACAAATTCCTGTGTCTCCGCTCTGTAATTCCTTTAGAGAACATATTTGTCTGCTCAATTCTAGCAGCCGATCCCTCTTTCCCACTGTTGTTCGCATAGTCTTTACATCATTTCTTCTCTTAGTGTTTTCTCAGACACTCTTATCTTTATATCGTTTCTCAGCGCTTTCCATAATTTTCTTTCCCTGTCTCCCATCAGCAATTCCCACCGCAACCCATTTCCATGTGTCCTCTCAGACAGGCTCCAGTTTGTGTCCTTTTATCATCCTTGCCCCTCCTTCGGGCAGGCACCCAAACTCGTCAGGTTAATGAGCAGTTTGTGAGCCTTCGGGCTTGGGGGTCGTTTGTGGAGTAACTTCTCCTCCCCTGCAGACGTGGCCATTGTTTGATCTCTGTATCAGAACAGGGAGCTGCGCACCCTCCGGCACGCCCTCCCCCTCCTGTTGCCGATGTCTGAGCTGGTGGGCTTTTCACCTTGGTTCCTTGCTGGCAGGGTTTGTCTTTAAGCAGAACTTGCCCCACCACAATGTTTGAGACATTAACTCTTTCAGTCTCTCACACTGGCGTTTGTCAAGGATTAAGCCTGTCAGACTGGTACTTGGGAGGGATGAGCAAGAGGGAGCCATGAGCAATCGCAAAACTTAATTAATTGTTTGATGAATTTACAATCTTGTTGAGAAGGCACAAGCAGAGGCCTTGCTTGAATAGATAGGGCCAGAAAAGATACGAACTCCTGCCTTTGTTCTCGTCCTTGTAGATAATTTAGCTTAAACTAGCCATATGGTTTTACATCACTAATGAAAATTTAGATAATAAGAGCACTAACAAGCATTTTTTTTTTAGGGACTAAGGTGCATTCTTTAGGATAAGATGTATCAAACATGTAAAGGACCATACTGTGCAGAATCACCTGAGGAGGGTCAAATAGCGGACCAGTGAGGAAGACTATGGAAGACCACCAGAGGACTCCTTAAGACCACCAGAGACCTCCAACGCGCCTGCGTAAAGGACATTTGCAAATGCTAGTAGTTTCCCGGAAAACTAATGAACATGTACAACATTTCTCGGAAATCTGGTGAGTATGTATGTAGAACATGTAGTTAACCTGCACAATGAGGCCCGACGGCGTGCACCGTAGGTGGAGCGATCCCCCGCGCACCCACGCTGCCAATAAAGAACATCTACTTAATAGTTAATCGAGCTATTTCGATTCTTTGAAACAACGCCGTGCAGCAACCAGCAGCTTCGTTGCGTAGCCGCACCAGCCCTGCGCCGGCCCGTTAGACGATGACGTTCGTAGTCGTTATTTGACAGAGTTTTCGCCGGATTTGGGCAGAAATACCACAGAAAGCACCCAAAACACGGCGGCCTGCCGCTGCGGGCGGGGTGCGCTCCCCTCCGTGTCCCGTTCCCCCCCCCGGTTCCCCGTCCCTGCGGAAGGGGCCGGGACCGAGGACCGGGCCCCCCCCCGGCGTCCATTTTGTTCCCGCCCCGGAAGGCGGAGGGTGCCGGGCTGCCGTCAAACCGGCGGCCGAGATGGTGGTGCTGAGCGCTTCGCTGTGGCTCCGCAGCCGCCTCACCGACCGCTTCTGGAGGGTGCAGGAGGTGCTGAAGCATGCGAGGGTGAGTGTGAGAAGGGGTGAGGGCGAGAACGGGTCTGTCTCCCCGTTCAGGTTGCTCCCCGCCGTCCCCGGAGCCCCTCGGCCGCCTCACGGGTGTGAGGGGGGGAATGCCCCGGCCTCCCCGGGTCTGAGGAGCGGAGCGAGCGGCCTGTCGTGTCGTTGGGGTGTGCGAAACGTCCTTCCCCAGCAAACGGGGGGGTCAGGCAGCGAGGAGATTTGTCTGTATTTGATTAAAGGTGGAGGCCACGAACGCGCCTGGTATGTGCGCCGTAACGCAGCACCTGTGTGCATGTGGATGGGCATGAATAAAAGCGAGAAAGAACCCTGTGGCCGAAGGAATACCAGCGCTACGGGGAGGGCAGTCTGTAAATACAGCACGCTGTGGACCGCTGTTGGTTGTGGGGGTTTTGTTGTGGTTTTTTTTTTAAACTGGGCAAAGGAGCAGGGAAAAAAAAAGATTTTTAACTTTGCTCTTCACGTGCATTTCAAAAGGTGAAAGAGAGTGCTTCGCAACATGATTTCCACTGAAGTTCAAGCTATTGTACCTAGGCTCGGGAAGAACCTTTTTCAAGGGCAGACTGTTAGCATCCTGGGAGGTAGTACATCTTGATGTAGTATTGAGATGGAAAATGTTGAAATAAGTGACAGTATCTTGGTCTTGTGGTGCCTAAGCTGCCCACAGTACCAGTAGTAGTTATTTATTTCTCTGACCGTGCAGCACTGGCTGCTTCTTCCTACTTCAGGTTAGATGGATGTCAGTGGTAGCTTCAGTTAACCTTCTTTCATTATGCCTTCTGTTTGGGCAACTGCAATGTTTTTGACATATCAGAGGCTCCTGTCCCATCCCTGTATTCATACTGACAAAACTGAGAGGGCAGCTCAGGAATGAGAATAAATGTGTGAGTTTAGGGGTTGGCTGAAAGCACTGAAGATGACTTTGTGATTGCCTTCCCCCTGGAACCACAGCCTAAAATGAGGTCTGGTTTTGGCTCCCTCCTGCTGGACTGAAATTTTTCAGCCTGCTCCAACTTTTCAGCTTCGGGTTTCCCATGCTACAAAACAAAGAAAGAATTATTTTCATTATATGCCAACTGAAGGCTTAGCTGATGTTTGTAAAGTATTTTGTGATCCTTATGCAGAGTTGTGAAATGCAAATAAGCATATATTAGTGTTACTGAAGGGTTTAACAGCCTTAAAGTTAACTGAACAAGAACATCTTGTTTTTGTTTCAGCATTTTCGTGGAAGGAAGAACCGCTGCTATAAGCTGGCTGTAAGAAGTGTTCAGAGAGCTTTCGTGAAGTCTACAAAGGCCAGAAGAGAGAAGAAGAGATTCTTAAGAGCGGTAAAGAGCAAAATGTTAGATGTAAACATTGAAATAGCCATTTTCCTTATTGGGGGGCTCTTTCAAAATGTTTTATTGGTGGGTGAAAAAATACGAGGTTAAAGTAAGGATAGTCCCTATGTGGTCTGAAACATACTGAAGTTCATACATGTATATGTTGCACTGAGAAGACTGTAGGTCTGAAAGTGTTTTATTTACTAAGTGTGAGCAGATCAGCATGACAAAAGGTTTACTCTTAAAGTATCTTATCATCCAACATGTTAATTTTTCACTTTTAGCTCTGGATCACTAGGATTGAAGCAGCTTCTCTTGAACATGGTTTAAAATACCCAGCTTTCATAAGCAATCTGCTTAAGGTAAGGATGGTGCTTGAAGAATAATTGTTTTGAAACAAAAAATTGGAGAAGATGTCTCATAGAGGTCTTCTGAAGTGCCAGGCAAATTAATTTCTTAAAATTCTGATATCTTTCAAGTAGATGTAGTCTGACAAAACATATCAAAGGGTTGCTGGTTACTGTCTAAGAATGCAACTGCAAAGAATCGAAGCTGCAGCCTTCACTTGCCAATCCTTGAAGAATAACAGTGGGGACTTGCAAATTGGAGCCTGAGCAGGCAATAGAGGCGTAGGGCATGGTGGTGGGACTGAAAAGCTCCTTCTGTCAGATTGAACTTCTGCCAACGCTGTCCTGCTTCCTAGTTCTAGTTACGAAAGGCTTTCTGCTTATGAAAGGGGTTTCTTTCACTTCGGGAACTAAGTTCTGCCCTAAAGCTGTTTCTCTTCTTTATATGCATAATCCCCTTTTATCCTGGTGAACATTGTTGCTTTACATCTTGTTCTGTCCCCAAAACTTTTACTGCGCATCTTAAGAATGAGACTTGTAAAATGCTTTTGCACATGTTGCTGCTGTGGGCATTAAGTGACTGCTGCCTTTCCTTTTACTTCAAGAAATTTAAAAATACAAAGCTTGGATTAGCAAAAACAACCCTAAGATATCTCTACTCTTTTCACTAATAGCTTTGTGTTTTGGTGAGCATGGACAATGCAGAGTTCGTGCCATTGTCTGTTGTTCTTAAACGTGCTGGGGAATTGGTTTTAATTTGTTGATGCTGGAACTGTAAAATTAAGACTTGTTTCCCTTGGCTGTGATCACAATAAAAAGGTAGTGTTTCTGCTTCTTGAAGTGGAATTACATACACATTTATAGCATATTTCAAAACATTTTATCTGTCTTTCAAATAAATAGATAACTTTATAGGTTTTCTGACATGCTTAGATAACTTTCTAGGTTTTCTGATGTGTTTCCTGTAAAATAATACAGTTTCTGAAATTTGTACACTCGTTCTCCTGATTACTGTTGTCATACTGTAACCAAAAGAATCAAGCACAGCCTAAAAGCTAACTCATTTTTCTTTTTTCCTTTTTTTTTTTTCTCCTCAAGATGCCTGTCCTTTGTTTCTTGTCTCAGAGCGGTATATTTTTGTAAGGCTCTCTGTTAGAAGATCCAAAAGAAGCATACTGTTTTATATAATAACTCCCTCTTAGAATATGCAGTTAACTGTGCAATATCTAGCGTTGTTAAGAGTATTTGATCCTGCAGTCTTTCTTTCTCTACTCCAGCACACATTTTAAGATACCAGGTGCTGCCCGAGCTAGCAGCTTTCTAGCACAAAAAGTAAACTTGTATATGTCTCTTAAGAACTGAAAAAAATGCCGTGGATTAACCTGTAACACATGGCCTTCCATGAAATAAGAGATTCTTCTTCAGTTCTTGGTTTTTGCCAGAAAGACTTTCTCAAAGTCAGTAAACAAATCTTACACAGCAGCTTAATGAGAGATCCATGTCCAAGTAGTCATGTCTGACAGCTCTCTGATAGTTCCAAAATTGTACGGTGTAGAATAAAGGTAATTTGCCTTAAGACCTCAGGTAATCGTTAAGCATTGCAGTGTTGTTCCTAAAAATTATAGTACTTAACCCACAAATTTTCTTGCATTTAGTCCCAGGTGGAGCTGAACAGGAAAATGATTGCCGATTTGGCTATTTATGAGCCAAAGACATTCAAATCCCTAGCTGCCTTAGCCCAGAGGAGGAGACAAGAAGGCTTCCTCGCCGCCCTGGGAGACGGAAAAGAACCAGAGGGGATATTTTCACGTATTGTACACCACTATTGATATTAAAACAGTCTGCAGCTATGCGTTATGAAGAGGAACTTGCGTTGCAAAGTCAACTCGTTCGCCGACTGCTGCGAAGTTTGTAGCTGTGGAACAAAATCCTCTAAGGATGGTTCCAGAAGGACGGGGTGGGTCCGGACGCGAAGCTCGCGCCTCCGTGACTTTTTCCCCGGCATCGCGTTGTAAACCGCGGTTTGACGCTGGCAGCGGCAAGTCAGGCCTGTAGAATTTCCAGCGTTAACGACGTACGTAGCGGGCACACGCTTTCTGTTCTAATAAAGATTAAATTTTTTGTTTGTTTTGGTAACGGCTGCTGGGAAAAAAACGCAATTTTGAGTGGTCACTTCTGGCGTTGCACGGGCAAAAAAAGCCTGCCGCGGCGGGGGCGGGGGGGTAATCTCGGCAGGCAGGGCACGGAGCCCAGCAGCAGCCCGGCTTCGGGAACGGTGCGGGCCGGGCCGAGCTCGGAGCGGCGGGGAGCCGCGGCCGCCCGCCC